CGTGATGTTCCCCGATCCTTCTGGAATCTCATGACGTGTTACTAGAGTCACGTGACTTCCGCTGTCGTAACACCACCTTTCATTACTAAGTCGAGTCGAATAATTGTAACTTTATAATCAGCGTCAATCAACATCAATAGACCAGTGAACTAGTGGATTGATTTCTTTAAATAATGTGTTTATTTATTTCATTTGTGTTTGATGAAGTATTACCAGGTGAGCTTCGCCCCATAAGACCAGCTAATTCATGTTTTCCAATGTCTGGTTAGTCCTTTGTCGTTCATTTAATCTGGTAGTACTCAAAGACTCATCTTTTTTTGTATTGGTTATTAACAGTTGTTGATTTCTCACGGTCTCGGCTGTAATGGCCATGTTTCCCACATTTATAACAGCTCCCTTTTTCCGACTCTTTTGAGGGTAGTTTTTAGTCATTACAACCTTACGTTTGTAGTTCCAAGCAATATGTCATTTCAAGTTACACTTTGTCGATTATTTCCACCATTCTGCATAGTTGGTCGTTTAACTAGCCCTATTAGTTCTTCTAGACTATCCTCAGAGAAAGTTGATGTTTCAACACCACTAAACCTTATGATGACAAAACTTCATGATGGTGACTTCAGCTATTCAAGATCCATCCCCAACTTTGTGAACTTCCTTGAAAGGCATATATTTATCTTGCCTTAACCTAATTCTTCATTTCTTGTATCATTGGCAGTTATGGCATCTGTAAGTTCGAATTAGTTTATTTATTCTATAATGTTTACTTCAGACTATGTTCACTTTGACAAAGTTGTAGGTCTAAGTTTAAATACAACGTTCCAACAGAACATTTTCACTAATTGTATGCATAACTCACAATTAGTGAATTAACTTTACTTAAAGAATTTCACGGTTAATATATCGTCGTATCGAATAATTGAAGAGACTCAATAACTGTCATTATTAGCACTGAGGTAAAATACTCATTGAATACTCCACTGAATGTTTTACAAATCTTCACACACTGATTACTCGTATTTTTAACGTACTCTCATTTCCCAAATTCCACAAAATTGCTGGATAAGTACATCATCATAATCTTTCTAGGTGCTGTTGTTCTTGGCAGTTATTTTGATTTAAAAATAATTATCTCCTAAGAAATAATTACTAAT